GGGGCCAAGCCATGCTCTGTGTGTCATTGGACACACAGCATCGGCTTGGAAGTGAGTACAAGTATCCCCAGACCAATAAGTGAGGTACGTAGGGCACTCTTGTAAAAGAGACCATGGGAATCCAAAGTAGTCATGTGTGTAGAAACAGCCATATGATGGTAGGGAGAAATATGGTGGCTATATGGTGGTAGGGAGACACTTGCAGCAGCACTCCAGGAGAATCCAGGCTCTGAACAGCAGAAAGGAAAGAGGGGAGGAGTTTCTAATTGTAATGGGCTAGAACAGTTTATTAAGATGCACAGAATAAAATGCATTTACTAGAGCATGGTGAAATGTCAGCATATCAATCAGGTGAAACATCAAAGATTATTCCTGCAAAGGATCAGTCTTCAGCAGCGCCAGTGGTGCTGAGTGGTGTATATCCATCAAGAACCTCCGGAACCATTCTGGAGAGCAGTAGGAAGTAACGAGTTTCAGAGCATGCACAGTTGCTCCTTCATCAGACCTCATGCCCCAGGCTGAACAACAGTACTATATAGTGACAAGTTTTTTTAATTGCGTGGGGGTTCCCTCCAAAATGCATACCAGACCCTTATCTGTTGTTCGAGTTACGTTTGACTCAAATATAAAGCTCATCACTACTCCTGTGACATAAATGTACAGATTTGAGTAGCTGAGATGTGACCTGTAGCAATATGTAATCGTAAATTTAGCTCATTCCTTGTTATTAAAGATGTATTCAGTCATATATTCAGTCATGGGTATTCAGAGACCTGTGCTCATCCATTAGCATCTGAAAAGAGCAGTTTCCTCAGGCTGGAAGTGACACCTAGATGCCAATAAGATTTGTCACCTTCTGGGAACCCTGGAAGGAAATGGCTGGAGACAGGTTGGCTTCATGACACAGCGGGAGACCAGAGCTTTGAAGTATATCAGTGGATCATAGGAATATGTTTCATCTCTCATAAAAGCTAAAATATTAGTTGCAGAGAGATAAAAATACTTCCTTCTGATTGGACACTCTGTAGGCTACATATGCATGTAAAAACTGTATTTGTAGCCTATGTAGAATTTTAGAAAAATGCAGGAAATGGTTATGTGGCGCAGGATCACGACAGCTGAACAGTGATTGGCACTGTCGCGATCGGACTGATGAGCTGGTGTCGGAAATTCAATCCCTGACTTGTTGATTCAAACTGTTCCTGGTCCAATCAACTTTGGGCATTTCAGGACCCAGAACACCCTGTGGGCGGGTACAGGAACACCCCCCAGAGTCAATTGGCCAAGAACTCATGTCCAGCCCACATCCATATTCCCATAAATTGAGGACCCTGAGGTATGGACGTTGTGATTCGTATGGAGCTAGTTCGATCGATTAACGGACTGCTGACTTTCCCTGACTTGCTCCAGTTACAGGATAAATCTTGGTAAAAGTTTCATTTCTGTTTTTTATTCCCTTTTTTATTTTATAGTGAAAAGTCAATTGTGTGTCTTCTTGTATTTTTTGTATTTTCTGTAACTTCTTATACTTTGTACATATTTTATGCACTGCCCACTTTCGGGCTATTAAATCTTAAAATTAATAAGTGACTTCTGGGTACTTAAGCGGGCTCATATCATATTGTATTTTAGTGTCTTTAAATGCTCGGTCAAGTTCATTGCCTATCTGTATACAATTGCACTGTGTGTTGGCAGATTGCGTGCAGATTGTAAAGGTAGCAGATCTGCCAGACGGACATCTGAGTGTGTGTGGTGTCCCAACAGACCGTTCTGTGGATAAACTGTTGGGTGGTGGCAAGCTAGCGTTTGTGGTGTGTCTGGTGTGGGGGTGTATGGACATTGGAAGAGTGATTAACACCGGGGTTCTGGCTTGATAGCTGGAGGAATCCTAGAAAGGTGTGTGATTGCTAGACTGCTCCTCAACCCTAGTTAGTGCATCAGATTGTATGTAAGATTTGTATCTGCCAGTGTGTGGTCGGCCGGCTGGATTGGAGTGGAGTCTCCCTCCAGTGGTGGCAGGAGGTAGTGCGGGCTGTGAAAGTGTATCACGGCCGGTCTTATATACGTATCAGAGGACTGACCATTTGGAAACTCGGGCTCTGCCCGAGGGCCCGGGGTCAGTAGGGGGCCCCATGAGATGCCCCTGGTACCTTTTTCATAGGCTTTTTTGAGTTTGGGCAAGGACACAGGGGCCCCATGATCCCCTATTGCCCAGGGGCCCCATGCGTTGTCGGTCTGCCCCTGATACGTATATATATATTAGAAATTAAGTCCCCCTTATTCCCTCTTACCCCAAGTCATGGCCGCATGTGCGTGTCTCGGTTAGCTAGTCGGCATGCCGTGCGTGTGACAACTCCTCCAAAAGGGCAAGACATGAAGTCATTGTTATTATCAATGTCAATAATATCTGGAGAGGGAGTGTGGGTATCTATGGTATTATTTTTATTTAATTGAACTTGAATACTATAAAATCTTTTTAAAGTAAGGTGGTGAATGAATCTATTAAGATCCTTGAATAGAAGGAAGACATTGGGCTGAATGGTTTTTGCAAAATGTAATCCACAATTTAATAGGCTAGCTTCTGAGCAAGATATTATTAATATTATTAAGAGAAGGTGGATTATCTGACGCTATGGATGAACCAAATGAAATACCAGAAGGAGTGGTAAAATTGGTGCTATTTAAAAGGGGTACATCTTCTGAACATTAAGTAGTAGTCTCAGGTTGTATATCTGTAGGTTGAAGATTACTTGTGGATTGAGAAATGGGATTTTCATTCTGAAGAGACAATGAACCAATATTATTAACTGGCCTTTATGTTCACTTGTGGTTAGTCTGGTTTTCTGATGTATTACTGGGTTTTTATATTTATTAATATTATAATCCCAACAGTTTTTTTGGTGGCTTGTAAGTGTCACGAGTGGAAAAAGAATGATTACTTAGTTGTTGTTGTGGTGGGACAAAGGCCTGTCCAGCTTCTCTAGATGACATAAAGCCAGGTCTATGAGCAGTATGGAAAATGGTGGAGGGGTCAGTGGACATTAATTTTTGGGACAGGAACACGTGTCTTGCTACTGCACTGCTGTATACTGATACTTCACAGGAATAATCTTTGACGTTTCACCTGATTGATATGCTGACATTTTACCATGCTCTTTGCAAGTGCATTTTATTCTGTGCATCTTAATAAACTGTTCAGGCCTATTACACTTAGAAGCGCCTCCTCTCATCCCTTTCTACTTCCAGAGCAAGAAGCTTATCGTGGGGACACTCGGCAGGGGGGAGGAGTCAGGAGCTCCAGCAGGGGACCCCAGAAGAAGAGGATAGGGGCTGCAAACCATTGCACAGAGCAGGTAAATATGACATGTTTTAAAAAATGCCTTTAGAATTACTTTAAGGTTACGCAGGTAGAGTCAACAGGACACAGTACAGCTCGGAATTTACAGCACGATCAACAGATTTTTTTAAATTATCAGACACATGTAACAAAACACAGCAGACCAAAGTGAACAAAAAAAGAGAGGTTCATTGTTATATTTTACAACACTTTAAGTAAAAGACAAACGTATTAAAACCCAACTCCAACTAACACTTTTTAAAACAATGCACCAGTTTTTGTTTTTGAAGGTTTTGAAAAAGGTTTAAACCATATGAGCACACGTTGATCAATGTAAACATCCCTGCCAATGTTCAAGTGACCTTGGTGTGGAGTTATTCACTTTAAGGTTATCACAGAGGACAAAGGGGCACTCTTTATCTCTGGAGGGAAAGAGATTCAACCTACCAATATGTAAAGGCTTCTTCACAGTAAGAGCTGTGAAAATGTGGAATAGATTTTCTCAAGAGCTGGTCCTGGCCCACTAAGTACATTGTTTAAAAAAAAGTCCTGGATTCTTTCCTAAAAGCACTAAATATAACTGGATACTAACATTTATAGGTAAAATTGATCCAGGGAAACAAACATTTTGCTTAACATCCTCACCTGTGACAGAAAGTGTAAAAATAAAGATCTATTGGCAAGATCAATGGGTGATAAAACACATTACAGGGAGGAATAAGAAAAAACTGCTGTGTTAATGCTATTAACAGACTACCTATATACACTATATGATCAAACGTTTGTGGACACCTGACCATCACACTTACAATATACGAGTTTGTTAAATATGCCATTCCAAAACCATGAGCAGTGATACACAACTGAACAACACTTTGGGGCTATAAAAGGTTCCACTGGAAGTGTGTCTATGGAAATTTGTCCCATTTAGTAAAAAGAGCATTTGTGAGGTCTAGTTCTGATGTTGAATGAGAAGGTCTGGCACACAATAGACATTTGAGTATATCCCAAAGATTTTAAATAGGATTGAGGTCAAGGCTCTGTGAAGGCAACTTGGGTTCCTCCACACCAAGCTCATCAAACCATATAATTTTGGACCTGACTTTTGGGCACAGACATGTCCTAAAACTGTCATCACAAGGTTGGAAGCACACAGCTGTTTTTAATATTTCTTTCTATGCTGTAACATTAACAAGAACCTTTATTGGAAACACCCTGCACTCAATAGTTACTCTAGGAGGGGGTGTCACATAATTTCTGCCCTATAGTATGTGAGATTATAATCATATAGTGTATCTCATTTTTTATTTTGACCATAGTTACACTTCAAGCATTGTAGCTGAAGTTTAATCAGCTTATATCTAGCCTTCCCTGGCCCTCCCATCAGCAGGCTAATGACATTTTTTTAACCACTAGCCTACAGGGCACTTATACCCCCCTTCCTGTCCAGGCCAATTTCCAGCTTTCAGCGCTGTCACACTTTGAATGACAATTGGGCGGTCATGTAACACTGTACCCATATGACATTTTTATCATTTTTTTGAGACAGATAGAGCTTTCTTTTGGTGGTATTTAATCACCTCTGGGATTTTTATTTTTTCTTAAACAAACCAAAAAAGCACTGAAAATTTGGGAAAAAAAAAACGTTTTTTCTTAGTTTTTATTATACAATTTTGTAAATAAGTGATTTTTCTCCTTCACTGATGTGCGCTCATGAGGCTGCAGTGATGGGCACTGATAGGCTGCACTGATGGACACTGATAGGTGGCACTGATGGCACTGATGAGGAGGCACTGGTAGGTTGCACTGATGAGCATTGACAGGCACCACTGATGGGCACTGAAAGGCAGCACTGATACATGACACTGATATATAGCACTGATAGGTGGCACTGATAGGCAGCACTGACTGGCACTGATAGGCAGCACTGACTGGCACTGTTAGGCGGCACTGACTGGCGCTGATAGGCAGCACTGACTGGCACTGATAGGCGGCACTGATAGGCGACACTGACTGGCACTGATAGGTGGCACTGATTGGCATTGATAGGTGGCACTGACTGGAACTGATGGTGACATTGAAAGGCAGCTCAGATGGGCACTGATATGTGGCATTGATGTGCACTGGTATGCACTGATATGTGGCATTGATGTGGCACTGATGGGCACTGGCACGTGGCACTGATGAGCACTGACTGCTGGCACTGATGGACACTGACAGGTGGCACTTCCGGGGCCATACTGATCATCAGGGCACACTGATCATCAGTGCCCTGATGATCAGTGTACATGTCCCCTCCGCGGCGGAAAGCCGATTACCGGCTCTCCTCACCTCTCGAGCTGTTAGCTTGACAGCTCGAGAGGAGAGAAATGCCGATAACCGCCATTTCCGTGTTTACATGTGATCAGCTGCGATTAGACACAGGTGATCACATGACCGAGCCGACATCTTTGGCTCTTTCCGTGATCCGCTGTGTCCGAGGGACACAGCGCACCGGCGATCGCAGCGCTGCGGGCTCCCTGAGCCACGCATGCTTGTTGACAATGGAAGGACGTCATATGACGTCCTCTCAGAACGAGAGAACCACCTTTCACCCATCATTGTACTATATGGCGGGCGGAAGGTGGTTAAACAAACCCTTTCCATTTTCATTACATACATTACATCATCACTGGGCCTCTATTCTTTAAATGCAATGCATGCAGATCCTGGTTGGTGGGAGAGATTGACAGGAGGCTGTATATAGCTTCCTGAAAATGTCACAGCACTATACCTCAGTATGCCTCTCAAAAGAACTTAGCCCTGATGCAAGCACTGGGCTGAATTTTGTGAGGAGTTACAGTATGTAAATGTAAAAATGCCTTAATAGGTGGATGGTAGTCTTAAGGAGTGGGAGTTCCTACAAACACTGGATTTGCAGGCAATCCACTAACATGCAATGCTAAGCCTGAATAATTGAAAGGACTGAAATTCAATAAATAAAAGGGTGGACTTAGAAAAGTAAGGCTGGGGAGAAAAGTAAAAGATGATGCTTGATGTCCTCGTGCCAGGAAATTAAGTGGGCTCTGTCTGACGATCTTCAACTTATAATGCACACCTTGAAAAGGCCACAGTGTGCAGTGAAATCAGAGTAATCAGTTTTAATACAGGGGAGGAGCCTGTAAAACTGTGCAAGATGAAGTTAAGGCTGATTTTTACCTTTAGAGCACTTCATAGTCAACAAATTACACATTTTGTATGTTCTGTGCATTACTCTTTAATATTTATGCATTCCTTAGAAACAAAAGCTAATTGAAATACTTCCTGGAGAACATATGTTGAAAAAATGCTACTAAATTCTAGTGACCATAGTATTGATTCTGTCCCATAATGTATCCACCCTGTGATCTCAGTTTTTGGACATTGGTTTCTACTACTTGTGATGTATGTTTAAATGCTCTAAAGAAAGAAAATAGGCATATTCAATGATGTGTGGCAGTTGCCCTTTAATGCTCTGCTTTTTAAAGATCAGGGTTGAGTTAAGGAGGCATAGATATGAAGGTTTAATGATTTAATGGGGGCAGCCAGGGAGGTAAAATGGGTAATACACCCCTGGGAACAGTGTTTCCTCATGCATATTACCTAAGTATAATGACCTATAAATGATCCATCTGCAGTATCAGTGGTTATGTTATATAATTTCTTCATTACCAAATAAATTGCCTAAGTGCCCAGTGAAAAGATATAGCTATTATTTCAATTTCTTTACAGTATTTACCAAGTTTATATGAATTTGTAAAATATATTGAAATATTCATACAAGGATTAAATAGATGATGATTCTTTGAAGCAAAGCATACAAAACTATGGATGCATTTTGATGGCCAGTTGTCTTTATTAGTTTGCTTTATTCTGGTTATATTGAAGTTTTCAGAATTAGGATAGATTTGCACTTTGTTATAGAAATGATGAAATATCAAATAATTGTGAAATAAAAGTGACCTCCCTATGGTTGTTTATTTAAAAATGTTCCAGTTTGTCCCTTGGCTTGTTTTGTGCAATAAAAAAAATCTGCCATGAATAAATGTTTCCACTATGAGCTTTAGAAATAAATAAATATATTTTAATCTGTTCCAATGACAATACCCCATATTTGCCCTAATTATCTTCTTTGTGGCATAAACATTCACCCAGTATTACCTATTTTCCAGATATGGCTGTTATAGAGTTTAAAATTGTTTTTAGCAACAGTAAGCATGTGAAACAATTTGAAGACAATTTGCTTCATTAATGTTTTATTTTTGTGGATCATGAAAGTAAAGAGCCACCTCTGCCTGATACAAATAACTGGTTATCTATATAGATAAATCTATGTGTACATGTAAAAAAAAAAAATATATATATATATATATTTTTTTTTTTTCTTTACATGTACACATAGATTTATCTATCTAGATAACTAGTTATTTGTATCAGGCAGAGGCGGCTCTTTACTTTAATGATCCACAAAAATAAAACATAAATGATATATATACAGGTGAAACTCAAAAAATTAGAATATCGTGCAAAAGTTCATTTATTTCAGTAATGCAACTTAAAAGGTGAAACTAATATATGAGAGACTCATTACGTGCGTGTAAAGGCAGGCGTCCCAAAAACTCAGCATAGCGTGATCCAATTTGCTCCTGGAGGGGAAAAAATACCTTCCTGATCCCTCGAGAGGCAACCGGATATTCCCTAGATCAGCTTTACCTATACATTTTAGTATCCAGTTATATTATGTGTATCTAGGAAAGAATCCAGGCCTTTTTTAAAGCAATCCACTGAGCTGGACCAGAACCAACTCTTGAGGGTAGTCTATTCCACATTTTCACAGCTCTTACTGGGAAGAAACCTTTCCATATTTGGAGATTAAATCTCTTTCCTCCAGACATAAAGAGTGCCCCCTTGTCCTCTGTGATGACCTGAGTGGTGAATAGCTCTACACCAAGTTCACTATATGAACCCACTGAAATATTTATACATGATGATCATATCCTCCCTTAATCCCCCCCTCTTCTCAAGAGTGAGAATAAATTCAGTTCCTCTAATCTTCCTCACAGCTCATAGCTGAGCTTCTGCATTCTCCATGCCTCTTATCAGTTGGTTTCCCTTCTCTGCACTTTCATTCAGCTCCCCAATGTTCTTTTTGTGAATTGGAGTGCTCAAAACTGAACTGCATATAAATTCCAGGTGAGGTCTTACTAAATGATTTGTACCGGGGTAAAAATGATATCTCTTTCTCTGGAGTCTATACCTCTTTTAATACTAGAGAGGATTTTGCTTCGCTTTAGAAACTGAAGCTTGGCATTGCACATGCCATTATTAAGCTTGTGATCTACCAGAAACTCCCAGATCCTTCTCCACCATTGATTCCTCCCCCAGTTGTACTGCCCCTAGTATGTATGATGCATGCATATTCTTAGCCCCCAAGTGCATATACTTTACATTTTTATCAACATTATACCTCACTTGCCACATAGTTGCCCAATTTAACAGTGTATTGAGGTTGGCTTGTAAGTGGAGACATCCTGTAAGGAAGTTATTCCACACGCACAAGCTTGGTGTCATCTGCAAAGACTGAAATGGGATTTTTAATCCCAGAACCTATATCGTTTATAAATATATTAAAAAGTGAGGGTCCCAACACTGAACCTTGGGGTACACCACTAACAACCATTCAGAGTATGAATCATTAACCACTACTCTCTGAATACATTCTTGTAGCCAGTTTTCTATCCATTTACATACAGATTTTTCCAAGCCTGTAGCTTACCATGTGTGGGATACTGTGTCAAACGCTTTTGCAAATCCAAGTATACCACGACCACAGCTACCCCTCTGTCCCAGGTTTTTGCTCACTTTCCTCATAAAAAGAAATCAGATTTGTTTGACAACTTCTGTCTTTCATGAATCCATGCTGTTCCTTTTTAAAATAGGCACCACATTGGCCAATCCAGTGGTACTATGCCAGTCATTAAAGAGTTCCCTAAAAATTTGAAACAATGGCTTTGAAATGACAGAGCTCAATTCTTTAAGACCCATGGGTGTATATGGCGCGCCATCCAGTCCAGGTGCTTTATTCACCTTTATTCTGTCTAAATATTTCTAAATCATAATCAACTCGCGTGAGCCAAATAGTGGATAATCTGGGCTGTGTCAATACCATGCCCATTATGGACAAAAGCTCCCCGTGCTCCTTTGTATACACATAACTGAAGAAGGTATTTAATAAATGTGCCTTCTCTTTGTCCCCAGTCACCCACTCTAGATTATTTTGTAAAGGGCCTACATGCTCAGTCTTGACCCTTTTTACTATTAATATATCTGAAGAATTTTTTTGGGTTTGTCCTGCTATCTTTTGCAATCTGACGTTCATTTTCAATTTTTGCGGCCTTGATTTCCTTTTTACATATTCTGTTATATTCTTTGTAATGTTTAAAAGTATAAAATAGCATTCCTTCATTTTAATATTAATAAAAGCTCTTTTCTTATTATTTATAGCTTTTTTATAACTTTGGGCCGTCACAGCAACATTGGTTTGATTTTTAGCCTTTTTAAACATGTTACCCATGGGAATATATATTTTGAGAGTTCGCACACAGTCTTTTTGAAGAACTCTACCCCATTTTTGTGTAATGTTCATCAATGTCAATATTCCCTCCCAGTCTGTCTTGGAAAGCAGCTCTCAGCCTTGGAAAATAAGCTCTCTTAAAGTTTGAGAATTTTTTTAAATTTTTCCCTTGTGTGCTTGTTGTTTACAGATAACAATAAAATAAAATCATGTTATGGTCACTGCCTGCTACCCAGATTGTTGTTTTTTATATGGACATTAGTATAAGCTCTGCATGGTTTGAGATTACCAGTCAAGCAGAGCATCATATACTTATGTTTGGGACCTCTAAGTAAAACCGTACCATAAAATGATATCATATATAATAGTGCCAAGCATTTATCCCTATATCCTTATATACATCAAAACATCCAAACCGTGTGATTATTAAGCATTTGTGAATACAATGATTCCAACTTAAAAGTCCTTGATGTGTGATTATATCAATGCCTCTATGATTAATTCCTAAACAGGTGCTCTTTATTGCTTATATCCACATGTATTCTTAAAGGTGCTCCTCCGCCCACCAGAGACATACGTACATACTCTCACCTCCTTCTATGACCCAAATTGCATAGGTCAAATACCGCCTTT